AGAAGGAAGGAAAGAGAAAGAAAAAAGAAAGAAGGAATGAAAGACAAAGAAAAAAAGAGGGAAAGAAGAAAGAAAGAGAAAGAGAGAGAGAAAGAAAGAAAGAGAAAAAAGAAAGAAGGAATGAAAGACAAAGAAAAAAAGAGGGAAAGAAGAAAGAAAGAGAAAGAGAGAGAGAAAGAAAGAAAGAGAAAAAAGAAAGAAGGAATGAAGGAAAGACAAAGAAAGAAAGAAGGAAAGAAGAAAGAAAAAGAAAGAAGGAAAGAAAGAAAGAGAAAAAAGAAAGAAGGAATGAAGGAAAGACAAAGAAGGAAAGAAGAAAGAACGAAAGAAAAAGAAAGAAGGAAAGAAAGAAAGAGAAAAAAGAAAGAGAAAGAAGGAATGAAGGAAGGACAAAGAAAGAAGGAAGGAAAGAAGAAAGAACGAAAGAAAAAGAAAGAAGGAAAGAAAGAGAAAAAAGAAAGAAAGAGAAAGAAGGAATGAAGGAAAGACAAAGAAAGGAAAGAAAGAGAAAAAAGGAATGAAGGAAAGACAAAGAAAGAAAGAAAGAAGAAAGAAAGAAAGAAAGAAAGAGAAAGAAAGAAAGAAAGAAAGAGAAAGAAAGAAAAGGAAGAAAAGAAAAAGAAAGAAAGAAAGAAAGAAAGAAAGAAAGAAAGAAAGAAAGAAAGAAAGAAAGAAAGAAAGAGAGAGAGAGACTTGGGGAGGGGTGTTGGGCAAGAGCATACTGACTGTTCTAATGTCTCAAAGGTGCTTTTTCCAAAAGGCAATTAGACTTGAAAGATTTAAAAATGAAAATAAAAGCTCACTAAGTGCAGGTGATCCTCAATTTGCAAGCACAGCGGACCCCTGAATTTTTATTGCCAAGTGAAACATTTGTTAAGTGAATTTTGCCCCATTTGACAACCTTTCATGTGACCATTATTAAGAGAATCCCTGCAATTGTCAAGTTAATAATTCAGTTGTTAAGTGAATCGGGCTTCCCCATTGACTTTGCTTGTAAGAAGGTCACCAAAGGTGACCCCATGACCCGGGGACACTGCAGCCGTCATAAATATGAGTCAGTTGCCAAGTGTCTGACTTTTGATCATGTGACTATGCAGATACAGTAACTGCTGTAGATGTGAAAAACAGTCAAAAGTCACTTTTTTCAGTGTCCCCGTATGTTTAAACTGTCACTAAATGAACTGTTGTAAGTAGGAGATTACATTTACATTTAAGTAAATGTCTGATTCCTTGGGATTGCAGATTTTGAAGGGAGGCATATTTTTGGCATCTCCCATTAACCAGAATACCTAAATCCATTGTCATGGTTCCAAGTAACACCCCCAACAGAAGTCATTATCCATAAGGGATCATCCATAAGATCGATGAAGATCCCTTGAAAACAGGAGGAAAGAATCTTGTCTCATCCACTGGTCAAATAGAACTAAGAATTCAATTTTTTTTCCTCCCACTCTCTCATCTCCATTTCCTTTCCTTTTGCATGGTATAAATACTTTTGACACTTATTTAGTTAAGTAAATAACTTTAATTTATATAGCTCTCCATCTCTAGCACATGATTTTGGACAGTTTACAATTAAAAACAGAACCTATTAAAATAAAATACAATTTAAAAAAAGAGACAAAGCGTATAAAAATCCAAATAAAAAAATTGTACATTAGTGCAGGGGTCACCAATCTTTTGGACCTTAGGGATCACTAAATTCATAATTTTAAATCTAGTAAATTCTAATATGAATCAGTGACGGGATGGAGTCCTTCGGGCACTTAGCTTGGCCGCCTGTTAGCGGAGAGAAGCGCCCAGGGTCAACCCTAGGTTTGCTATCCATTGCAGCTAGGAATCTCAAATACGGCCAAGAATGAATGTTTCGTCTTGTAGCCAGTCCAG